AGAAAGATCTGATTTTATAGGTCTGGGAAATGCCCGCATTTTTTTTAAGTTTAAATGCATTTTATTTTTAGACAACTTACCTGACACGTTTTTTTTTTCTTAAAAAATAATGCCTCTGCTCCAAACACATCAAGGTCAAAATAAATGAGGAGCTCAAGATGGCATCAGTCTTGTTTGTCCTAGTCATGGTGTGTGCGTGAAAAACAGCAGCCAGGTATGATGACAGATCCAAATTGTCAACTCTGTTAGCATTTTTCCATTTCCTAAGCCATCCTCAAAGGAAACCGTGCATGGGGTTGCACCATCTGCACAGCGGTGCAGCAGAGCAACCATGCTGTCTGGATTCATGTTTTCACCAATAAAGAACCAGTAAGTTTTTGAAATTAGCAAGGATGTGCTTGGTTTGTTCTGCAGCCCCTGTCATAAAAGGCTTTACTCTTGCTGGCTTCTGTCTTTCAAGATTCCCTGTGATTGCTTTCATGTCATCTTTGATGTCCTTCCTTTAGTCTTCCTTTGTGAAGCTGGTTTCCTGCAAGTGATGGTTCAGGACAATGACAACACCAGTGATGATGGTGCTTTCAGTACCTTCGCCCTGGGAAACCTCGGCAGAGGTATTTCCATCAACAAACAAGCCATCAGTGTCACTCTGTCCTATTGACCATCTTCCCCTGTACCTCCAGGCACAGCCCATCTGAGCCCCGGATGGTGTGGCTGTCGGAGAACATCATACCGTGGCTGATGAGGTCCCGGCAGACGATCGGGATGGAGGCTGGAAGGAGACCAAAGCGGCGCTGGCTGAGCACAGTCCAGAACTGAGCACAGTGTCGCTGGAGCGGTGCTAAGGCGGGCAGGGAGAGGAATGGCTGCACCTTTAACGAGTACCCCAGGTCCTTTTGTTGGAAGTGAGGCAACAATCTCATTGGAAAAACACTGAAATAGCTCGTGTCTCAGAGGCACTTATTAAAGTATGAAGTTGGGACGTTATCTGTGCCAAGGCCGCCCAGCTTACGCTGTGCTAAAGACTCTAGGCCAATATTCCACTATCATTTCTGGGGAAACAGGAAGAACATTTAAAACAAAGACTCCATAGTAACAAAAATGTCTTCTGTCCCTGGTTTATAAAGTAAAATAGCACTAAATGAGCTTTGATCATTTTTCTTTTAGTCTCCCAAGTAAACTTGAGGCTGTCTGATAAAAGCACCTCGGATTATTAACAGTTAACATATCCCCAGTTCTCTTCCAGTGCCCACCCATCCTATAACTTACCCCATGCCTTTGCCATGGGCTGGACATAAATTCAGCTAAAATCTGCCTTTTTGAATGAAGCACGGCAATTTAAAACTCTAAATCTGGACCCCACAGTCTACATAAGCCAGCCTTCTGGATGATTCTATACTCATTTTATTCATTGTGTCAAGTGACCAGTCTGTCTCAGGGGCCGAGGAGCCTCTCTGTTTTAGCACTGAGAAGTTCCGTGACCCGGGACACCCTGTCCTCTAGTGCCGGGACGGCTGGTCACCCCGCACCTTTCCATCGCCTTAGGCCTATGTAATAACACAGAGCTTCAAAGAAAAGACATTCTCCAGGAAGGCTGCCCAGCCTCCCAGACACTGTGTCAGGGAACACAGGGGCAAACACTTAGCTTTTGAAAGATCTTCCTTTGAAAAAGAATACACGTTAGATCCTATTCATTGTTGTTAGAAATAAAAATATTCCTGAAGTGGTTTCAGAGGAGCCAGAGACATAACATTACAGCAAACAGCCCTTCCCATCTTCCCTTGATTCCTATAAGCAATCATCACCTAGTGAAAAGTCTACCAATGTTTGCGTGTGTTTTAGCATCAGAAAGGAGACATGTAAGGTTAGGCCAGGCAATCAGAATGCAGAACATACAAATAAAGAGTAAATCTGTCTAGAAGATATGGGATTTTTCATCAAATAAACTTAGATAGAAAGTAACTCCCTATTACACTTTACTTTTACCGTAAAGACTTTGGAATTTTTGTAATATCCTGAAAAGATGATTCAGAAAGCTAAAAAAAGGATGTGCCTCAGCAGTCTGTTCCAAAATGTAGAACAAAACTTTCAGAATTACCCTGCCTACTGAATACATTAAAATTATACTTCTTTAAAATATTATAATTCATAGAATACCCAGAATTTCATTTCAAAATCAGTTCCAAGCTTCAACTTTCAAAAGTAGCCTGTATTTTTGACTCAGGAATCATCGTACTGACAGCTGGTTTACACTGTAAAAAATGTGTTTGTGTGGGAGTTTCGCACATTTGCCAAACTTGAACTCCCAGGTGCAATATCAACTTTCATTAAAAAAAGTCCAAATTGTCAAGAATGACAATTTACAATTATTTTTCAGCTCTTCATTTTTTTTTAGACCATCAGATACTTATTGCAGAAAACATTTTATTTGGCCGCTGGCTTCTCACAGTGAAAGATTTAAGGAGATCAATACAGAAAACCGTATGTGAAATCAACAGCCAAAAAGCAAAGCCACCAGATCTAATCACAATGAATATTTCCCAAAGTGGAGTCTCTGAGATGCTAGTAGACATCGTGTTCAAATGAAAAAGGGGTTCTCAAGCTAGATAACTTTGGGAAGCGCTGTGATCAACAGTGTTCAATGGGTTCCTTCACTGCAAGGCTTCTGAGAACCCTAACAATGATGACGGCCGTCCACGGTGGGGGAGTGGTGCGTGCTTCCCAAACTCATGTGACCAGATAGTGTCGGGTACCTAAAAAGTTTGGGTTCCAACTAATACACGTAGAGGAACACTGCCCTTTCCTCTCTAAATTTGACAAGTCAGCTACTCAAAAGTTGAGACTAAATCTATTTCAAGTCTATTTGCAGTGAAAACAGTTCTTATTAGCAAATAGCCAGAGTGCAGAACAATTGGACATTCTAAGCCTATTGACTTTTCAACATACTGTTAAAGGAGGCTATTCGTATTATAAATATCATTAGCTTCCAGGTTATAATAAAAACAAACAAGGCAATGAGACCTGTTAGAAAGTGGTCGTGGCTTCAAGCTTAGAGAATTTCCCTTTGATGACTTGGAGAGGCAGGTGAATGAATGCCAGCGGGGCAGAGCTTTGTATAGTCCATAGAGCTCTAGTCAGAGCCAACAGTTTCATAGGCCACGTTTCATAGCCCAAATTATACAGTGGATCTGTAAACTATCTAAGCTTCTGATCAGAGCACTGAGGAAGAGGAGGAGGAAGATTAAAGAGTTGCCAAACCTTAACAGCCATTAAAAAGAAAATTGGGGAAGGAATTGGTGGTGGAGGGCTAGCCTGAAGACAAGCAATCAGGATACACTGACGCATGCTCTGTGCCATTCCTTACACAGGGAGGCCCCTAACCAAATTGTCTCAAGAATAAGGTCTGTGAGCAAAACCCAATTTAACATTAAGTGAGATGGGGGAAAGTGGGTCAAATTATCAAATGCATTTTTTCCTTCACAGCATGGACGTTAAGTGTGAAGACAAATGTTTCTTTAGTTTCAAGGCGAAGCAACATTTGCTCTCTACCAAGAAATGACAGTTTGCTCTTTAACCACATTGAAATGACATTGCACAGAGTAATAAAGATTATAACATATGAAAATAAAATTTTTTATTGGGAAGAGGAAATTTTACATACAATTAAGTATAGGGTTGATGAAATGTAATACATAAACAACCTTTGCTTAAGGAACAAATACGGATTGAGCAAAGGAAGAAGTTAAAAGCTTAGAACAGGTTTCCAACAATTTCCAAGCAGGTTTAAGTAACAAGATCTCACTTTGCATAAATTGTACAGATCATTGAGGGAAAAGGTATTGGTTTGTGGCTATTTCTGATCATCAATTCACTCTGTGTCTTGTAGATCTCTTTTACCATGATCCCATCTTTGGTGATCCCGATCCCATTCTAAAAAGTTTCTCCAACCATAAGTGGGCACTTACCAAGAGGTCACATTGCAAGTAGAATTTTTTTTGTTCTTTGTGAATAAACAGATCCCAACATGCTCTTACATGAACTCCGTGGTTTTAAAGACAGCTGCTTGAACCAAATCTGGAAGAGCCCTTCCAATATGAGGAGCGCTCAAGTCACATGGACATGCGTGTTAAGAGTTTGGAAATGGCATTGGGATATGGGCACAACATCTTCATTAACAGAGTCTTGGTCTCATGTAAGCTAATAGAATCTGTAATTCTGGAGGCTATTAAGTAAAAATAAGTATCTGTAGGTGGTATGGAAAGCATCCTCATTTTAAGGATGCTCATTCTGCCAATATCTATCCCCCAAACAGAAAACATCCAACATGAATGATTTCATCTATGTTTATTTAATTATAACAAAAGTAGAACAATGAATACCAAATGGAAAAAGATATTCTAAATAGATGATCGAAATGTTCAGAGACAGAAATGACTAATTTAGCTGAAGGAATTACCTCAGGTGACATTAAAACACATTTGCAACTTATAATTGGTTATCAGTATAAATTAAATGTGGTAACCGAGTCCCAATTCACTAAAAGTTATCAAAATATTTTCAAAATGTTACATAAAAATTGACACCCATAAGTATTACATAAAGACCAAACACAAATCACATGAAACAAATAAACAAATGTACCCTGAAATAAACGCAAATCACACTTGTCACACCAGATGCACACTCCCTTTGCCCTCGCATGCAATTGTGAGGGTTCAGAATTTCTCATGTTCCAAGAGAAAGTGACGATAATATATGTTGATGCAAATTTCCGCCATAAGAATAAACTACTTCGTATCTTAAATGTCCCTACGATGAAACACCAGGACTCCAGTTTCACTAGTAAAAACTTAATGAAGGCATAAATTGCGTTTGGTTGGACTCCTCAAATCATGGCTGAAAACTCTCAGCAAAACATTCTAGGGATTTTTTTCCCCCTCACACCAACTGACCCAGAATATATTTTAAGAAATGTTTATTTTCTGAGCATATTTGTTTAAAAATTATAAATTCCTGAGCACTTTTTCTTCTTTCTCCTCATCACTGTCCGTGACGTTGACTTGCTGGACGCTGGAGGGGGTGGAGGTGGGGACCGTCAGGACGTTCTCCAGGACGCCGATGTCCAGCTGCGGCACGAGGGTGAGGTACTCCTCCCCGCCGTGGCTGTGGCCGGCGTAGTAAGGGGCCCCGTCCACGCTCTCACAGCTGCGAGAGTCTTCGCTGTGTGCGCGTTCATCTGCGTAGTCTCTGAAAGAATAGTCTCTGTTTAAAGCTGAAAACATAGCCTCATGTTTTTGGTACCTGTCTTCATAATAGCCAAGGCATTCTGGCATTGAACTTGGAAAATTTCCATAGCCAAAGGGAGGCCGACTATAAGGGCACGTGCTGCAGCAGAAAGACAAAAAAGGAATTAGATCTTACCTTGCCCAGATACTGCCCTGCACACAGACTAATTGACCAAATTTAACTGCATCCTCTTTGGGGCCTGGAAAATTCCTGAAATAACTTTTCTGCTACCACTTCATGTATTTGTGTGCCCTTTTACTACTGCTTAGCCCCAACATAAAATAAATGGCAAAGTAAGCTCGTGACTGACATATTCAGTAGACTATTATCTATTATCAGCCTTCGGCTTCCTGTTGAGTCTTGATAAAGAAAATTGCTAATCTGGGCCTTTCCCTCGCAATGCCTTACGTCATGTAAGGTTTGGGAAATGCAGGTATGCATTGTGCTGCTTTAGAAGCTGGCAGTAAGCAGTGAAGCAATTATTCTTAGGAGTATTTGAAACAAAGGTTATGAAGGAAAAATGTATAATTAGGTTGAAATCAAGAGATCCTAGGGAACCCTGAAACAGAGGATAACAAGTTAACTTTTTAATTGACATTCAATAATGAAGTAAATTAAAAACAGTCAGTACCAGAAAGATTTAGAGCTGATGCTAAAGTGCCGTTGTAAAGATATTCCCCCCCAAATTTTGCCATTCAAACCCACTTGTCAAAATATATATATTTTTAAAGTATTTATTCTCCCTTTCAGAGGCACAGGACAGGCACGGCAGGAAGAGGTACCGTGTGTAGAGAAGTCCAACCAAGACTTCCCTGGACTCAGGGACGCCATCTAGTGACCGATAACGTAAACATAGCGAACACTCTCATTAGCAAAACCCATTTCACGCTCCCACATTTTAAAAAGAAGTCAACTTTGTTTTCTCCTCTTGAAAAACGTAAGTATGATCAACTACTAAACTATCACCTCAAACTCTTTGAAAGTACTTTTTATTCAGTGCTTCGGTGTCTCTAAGTGCTAGGGGCCTTGCCCATGTTAAATATCACCAATGTGAGGCAAAGTTTCTCGAATGTTTCAGGTTTCCACTCCTGCTGCCACACCCTCATTTGGGCATTTTTACTTTAATACCCGTGTCCTGAATGCTGTGCTTCCAGCTACTGTGACTCGGCTCCTGCAACTGGTCCACCTTCAGGTTCTCCATCCACTGAATTCCAGGTACTTCAAGCTGCCTCCCCTACCAAGCATTCACATCAGCTAGAAACAATTCAACCACTATTTTTCCCTGGACTGACGGAATGTAGACAAGATACTAGGCATGCGTTGGTGGAGAATTGGTTTTAAAAAGGTCTCAAATCTAGGTATGTACTAGGCATGTGCTAAAAGTCTACAGTGCAAACACCACATGGCTATAGTGGTGTGTTATAAAAAAATTAGAGTTATGTCCAAAGAACAAAATGGTCAGTGAAGACAAGGGTAATCCTTAAAGGTTATATGGGTGAAAATGATCAACCATAGAAGCATGGGGGTATAGTGGAAAAAGCATCAAATAGAATTATCAGAATAATGATATTAGCCAGCATGGAATAAGCATTCACTATGTTTTCTAGGCGGTGCCTAAGGAGTACGTGTCTAAGGAGTGATTCTGAATATTCCTTAGAACCACTCTATGAGACAGATATTATAATCTCTCCACCTTGTAGATGAGGGAACAGAGCCTTGAAGAGACTGAGCTGCTTGCTCGAAGCCTTATGCTTGGTAAGGAGTAGCACAGAATCAGGCAGACCGCCTCCAGAGCTTGCTCTCCGAGCACCGCGGCACGTCACTTCGGCACTAGCTCTAGCCGCGCCACTTACAAGCCTGGTCTTAAGTAAACCTTAAGTTATCTGAACCTTAGGGCCCCCTTACATAAAATAGGGATAATATTGCCTGTTTACCAACTTAAAAGTTCTACCAACTTAAACTCTAATTTTCTCACAAAAATACATATTTTCACAGAAGAGGCCTAGACATCCTGCTAATTCAGTAGCAATAACATGCCTATTGTCTAAATTGATATTTCTAAATATCACTTTCAGCTAAAGAAACTTGGACATCTCAGTAAAATGGCTGATTCCAGGTCTGGTATAAATAAGGTGCAAGGTGAGTCTGGGACATGTTGTGCCAGATAGGGGGGAAAAAGCTATTAAATCAAAGATCAAGGACACAGGAGCAAAGTTGTAGCCAATTGGACAAAAATACTGAGAATCAAAAGATATAATAAATAATAACTGTAAGGCATTAAAACAGACCAAATATACAAAAACCCACTTGTTCATAATGATATTGCCAAAACAAAACAAGAATCACTGACATGTGGAGAGAATCAAGAGTTGATCCTGCCCTTCCATATTTCAGAGTAATCAAACAGTGGATGAGGGAAAGTTTTTCTTCATAAAAGAATTCCAGCTAATGAATGAAGGAATATCAAATCAGAAAAATCACCATTTTGCACTTGCATGGTTCTAGGTAACAATCAACATAGCTACTAAAATAATTACGCTGGTATTTCTCAACCTTAGGTGACCACCAGAATTCCATGGGGAAACTTTTGAAGAATACTGCCGCCCAAGTTCTAACCCCACAAAATTCTGACTTATTTGGTCTGAGATCTTCAAGTGATACTATGGCAGGGAAGAGAATTGAGAAGCACTGCTTTAGGTGGGGAAACTTATGATCAGACCGGTAATTCCTGAGCCCACAGATCAATCTGACATCACTAATAAAAAAGACTTTATGTACCCCTTGATGTGATGCAATACAAAGTGCAGAGAACCTCCTATGAGGTATCACTGCCAAAAAAAAAAAAAATTGAACCTGAATCTATCCAGTTACAAGATCCAACTATCATTTTATAGGAAAAAATGCGTGATAAGGAAGCATATTAAATAATATCCAGGGATGTAATAAGCCAAATCCAGGATGTGGATAATTTCTTGTGTCTTCGATAAATACACAGTATTTAAAAAAAAAAGGTTAAGTACTATTGTTGTATAAAGGAGGCTTAAGAAACATAATCACACCCAATGTGTATTCCTTGCTTGTTTCTTGTTTTAGACAAGCCAATTGTGAAAAGACTGTTCTGAGACAATGCAGAAAAATTAAACAATAAGTAAGTATTAATTTTTAGGTGTAAAAATAATAAGAGGTCATTTTTCCCATCCTTAACTAGTAAATATACATACTGATGTATTTACAGGTGAAATTATATGATGTCTGTAAGTTGCTTTAAAACACTGAAGACACCTTCCCGCAAGAGGGAGGGGAACTAAATGAACCAAGATAGTTGTTGAAGTTGGGTGATGGGTACACGGAGATTAGTCCCTCTGCTTTGCATATGAAAATTTCTATCACAAAATGGTAAATAAAACAAAAAGAAAATATTACTCACAGCTTCTCTGACTTAGTAATATGCATGTAAGGTTCCTCCATGTCTTTTCATGGCTTAATAGTTCTGTTCATTTTAGCACTGAATAATATTCCATTGTTTAGATGCACCATAGTTTATCTACTCATCTTAAGAATAAAGCTGCTATAAACATTCATATGCAGGTTTGTGTATAAACATAAGTTTCCAATTCATTTGGATAAATACCAAGAAATGTGAATGCTGGATCATATGGTAAGGGTATTTTGAGTTTTGTAAGAAACTGTCAAACTGTCTCTCAAAGTGGTTGTACCACTGTGCATTCCCACCAGCAATAAATTAAGAGTTTCCTTTGCTCCACACCCTCACCAGCATTCAGTGCTGGCAATGTTTTGGATTTTGGCCATTCTGATACGTGTGTAGTAGTATCTCATTGTTGTTTAAATTTGCAGTTCCCTAATGAACACAAGGAACATCTTTTCATATGCTTAATTGTCATCTGTACATCTTCTTCGGTAAGGTGTCTGTTCAGGTCTTCTGTTCATTTTCAATCAAGTCGTTCATGTTCTTATTGTTGAGTTTTAAGAGTTCCTTGTGTATTTTGGATAACAGTCCTTGATCAGATACATCTTGCACACATATTTTCTCCCAATCTGTGGCTTGTCTTCTGTCTGATACTATAGCTTTGTAGTAAGCTTGAAATTAGGAATTGTAAGTCCTCAATTTTGTTTTCCTTTTTCAAGACTGTTTTAACTACTGTTGGTCACTTATAGTTCCATATGAGTTTTAGGGATCAACTTTCCCATTTCTGTAAAAAGAGCCATTGGATTTTAAGAGAGATTGTATTGATTCTGTAAATCACCTTGGGAAGTATTGCCATCTTTACAATATTAAGTCTTCTAATGCAGGGGTGTCTTATTTTCACTGAGGGTCACATCAGCCTCGCAGTTGCCTTCAAAGGGCCGAATGTAATTTTAGGACTGTATCAGTGTAACTACTCCTTAACTAGGGGCAAGGAGCTCGGCGCTGCCAAAGGGAAGAAACAAGGTGGAAGGCTGGATTCAGCCCACGGGCCTTGCGCTTGCCACCTGTGTCCTAATGCATGAACACGTACACATTTCCATTTACTTGGGTCCTCTTTCATTTCTTTCAGCAAGGTTCTATAGTTCTCAGTTTATAAGTCTTGCACCTCTTTGATTAGATTTATTCCTAAGTATTTTGTCCTTTTCGATGCTATGATAAATGAAATTGTTTTCTTAATATCCTTTTTGGACTTTGCTCTTTGCTCATTGCTAGTGTATAGAAATACAAGTGGGCATCCTTGTCTTGCTCCCAACCTTAGGCAGAAAAGCTCTGGTCTTTCATCACCAACTAAAACTTTAAGTGTTGGCTTTTGACAAATGTTCTTTATCATGTTGAGTAAGTCTCTTTGTATATCCTTAGTTTTCTAAATAACTTTGAAATTAGCAATCGATTTTTATCATGAAAAGGTGTTGGATTTTATCATGTATTTTTTTCTACATCAGTTGAAATGATCAAGTGGTTTTGTGCCTTCATTCTATTAATGAAGTCTATTATGCTGATTGATTTTCAGATGTTGAAAACACTCCTGGGGTAAATCCCACTTGCTCTTGGTCTGTGATTCTTTTACTGTGCTGCTGGATTCAGGGTGCTAGAATTTTGCTGAGTACATTTT